ACCTGAACTTTAGAGGAACATTAGGAATGAATCAGTTTAATGAAGGGAATTCTATGGAAGAAAAACTGTTTTATTTGAATCTGCCTTTTTATCAATACTGAATTTTTATCTGGTGGAAATTAAACAGCAAAAAAAAAAATTGCAAAGGAATTCAATGTGTAAAAATGTTAAGTGTTTAAAATTCGGTGTTAAAAGGCAGATTCCATTTAGACCGTTTTTCTTCCATAGAATTCTGAAAAAATAATCAGATTTTTGTCCAAATTTTTACTGTAGCAGAAGTAGAAAGTATTCGTCAATGAAATTATACTGCAAAAAATGTAAATCTATATAAATAATTCCTTCTTAAAATAAGTGCATTTTTCTTGATTTAAGGAGCTGAGTGAGACACTTTGCCAAAAGAACAAGACAACATTTAAAATAAGAAAAAAAACACCTGCGTTATCTTATTTCAAGCACATGTTATCTAATTATCGTATTTTAAGAGTAAAAATACTCGTTCAATTGGCAAATCATCTTATTTACCTGCTCAAATTCAGAATGAATTCACTTTATTTAAGACATTTTTACTTATTTCTAGATGGTTTTTGCAGTGCTTTTAAAAAGCACTTGATAAAATGGCTTCTAAGTACTACACTGGAAAAACCATCTAGAAATAAGTAAAAGTTTCTTAAATAAAGTGTATTTACCCTTAATTTGAATAGGTAAATGAGATAGTTTGCCAATGGAATTAGTATTTTTATTCTTAAAATAAGAAAATTAGATAATATGCACTTGAAATAATGTTTTCTTATTTCAAATGTAAATTGTCTTGTTCTCTTTGCAAAATGTCTCCTTTACCTCTTCCATACAAGAACAAATGCACTTATTTAAAGAAAAAAATACTAATCTAGATTTCGATTTTTCTAGTGTGAGGAACTGTTGGCTCATAAAGTCTGATTTAATGTTTAAAATGATGTAATAAGATATTTTTGATCCTCCCATCTTCTTCCACTCATTCCATCAGTCTGTCACAGAGCCAGTTATTTTCAAATTCTACTATTTCAATAGATAGAAAAATATAAAAATTAAAAATCACCAAATATCCACTGTTTTTTTTTTTCTTTTTTGCATATTTAATTGATCTCTAAACAGCTCAAATTACTCCTGGCAGGTGAAGTAACGGTTCTCAAATGAATTTACAGTAAAGAGAAAATACTTCTAACTGTATATTTCTGTCTAAAAGTTACTCAAGTAAATGTAACTAGTTACTTTCCACTTCGGATCGGGAGAACATGCCAACTCCTAGCAGAAGGACTGAGGATCAAACCTAGAGCTGTTCTTGCTACAACAGTTCAACCAAGTGTGCCGCCCTGCAGCCCATAATGATTTATTAATGACACGAACATTTCTACGAGTCTAACTGAGGTGATTGACAGGAAGAAACCTGCAGCAGAACAAGAATCAGAGTGATAGAAATTGACCCTATAGATATGTGTGGGAGATAAACAGAACTAAGACCTGATAAACAGGAAAAACTCTATGATCTATGAGATTAGATGTTGTTGACAGACGTCTAATAGATTCTGCAGAGTGGGAGAATAGAGATAGAATGAAGCAGAATGATGGAAAAGGGGTCCCTAGCTCTGGTGAACTTCAATGGTGAAGGCCTCAGCAGATGGCCGCTCACACTGAGCCTGGTTCTGCTGGAGGTTTCTTCCTGTTCAGAGGGAGTTTTTTCTCTCCACTGTCGTTGTGAATTGTTGCTATAGAAATAAACTGAATTCAATTAAATGAATCTGTGTAAAAGTGCTTTCAGTCAAAGAGTCTCTGAAGTCACAGAAGCTCAGGAGTGAAACTCCGTCCCTCAGAACATCAGAGATCTCAACATAAACTCTTTTCAAAAAGCATCTCAAAAAGTGGCTCATCAGTCATGTCAGCATCAGTTGAATATCTTCCATTA